TTGATTCTTGTTAATATCCTTTGATTTCCACTTGATTTAATAAAAAATAAAGTAATGACACAATTTTTTTTCATATTAGGTTCACATACTTATTTAGGGTGAAATGGGTGTGGGATGAGGTCATGAGGTACTAAAACTGGTAGTCAATGCAACTTGTCACCCTAAGGAAGAGTAAGGGTGTATGGAGGATGGGTATAATATTCCATTTAGGACCATCACCATCATGCGGACGGCTATAGTATTCATTCACTATTCAGGCATGTCACCATCCTGAGGAATGCTCAAGGCTCCCCCATCTTGTTTTTGTTATAACTTCTTCAATCCAAACTCCAAATTAGTTTACTCTCTTTTGACATGTCTTTTGTTTTTTGGTTTATTACACATTAGAATCAAGGAACCATTTATTTCATATAGTTTAGCTTGACCTTTATAATAAAAGCTCAAAGGGCATACTTTGAAAATAAAAAACAAACACTACAATAAAGGCTTTGTGTTTCCCTATATACTTAGGCATGTTTACTAATGTATATAATATACTATAATCCATTCCTAGGTTTATTTAACTATATCTTTGTTTGTCTAAAGATTGCTCATTGGAGTAATCTACTTTATCCCTTTCTCCAAATATAGCAACCTACTTCGTTTTTTTTTTTTTTTTTTTTTTTTTTTTTTTTTTTTGTATTTATTCATATCCAATTACTAAGCATTTTGCATTGTTTTACTTCTAATAGATATTATAACGTGTTACAATACAATTTTCTAGTCTCACGCTTTCTAAGATAATGAAAGCATGCATTATCAATTTTACCATTTGTATAACATAATTTGAAGCATAATGTTTTCATTCCCTAGCATATCATGACTTGTTCAAACATACGTTTCTCATAAACTTATTTATTGGATAAAGTTTTTTATAATTCACCACTTCCCCCCCTCCTTTTCTTATATTTATAAACATTATATCATATTTTGGTAACAAGCATCTAATTATTTATCAACATTTACTTTTAATTTAGGCCTTCTTTTAGAACTAATAGTAGATTATCATTTATATGATGATTGTCCAGTTGAATTTTGGTCTTAAATGTATTATAATACTTATATGCAATTAACACTTCAATGGTTTATTAAGTATATCTCAATAACATTCCTTAGTATAACATCATCAATTGTTCAAATTATCAACGCTAAGTGCATTTCCCTTATCAATACAAATTGCATTGCATTATCAACTGTCCAAATTACCAAGTATATTGTCATTATAAAGTACATTGCATTATCAATTATCCAAAATAGCAGTCCTAAGTACAATGCATTAACTACATTTCCATTATAAGTCATAAGTATATTGCATTATCAGTTGTCCAAATTATTAAGTACATTGCCATTATTATTCCTAAGTACATTAAATTATCAATTTCCAAATTATTACTAACAGTTTAATAATGTACTAAACGTAGTTAAATCGCCATGAAAAAAACGTATCCAAAATATAAGTAGATTACTAATACCGATATCAATTCATAACCATTATAATACGATCATCAGAAGTGTAATTTGCTAACCCAACAGTATTACCTAGGACTAACCAAAATACCATACACCGAACTAACAAACCTACCTAAAACACTATACTTAGGGCAATGCTAACTATAAAAGCAATTTGATCAACATTACAACCTCAACCATGATAATGACTCCATTTAGCACCCCCATCAACAGTACCAACATTGTTAACGAGAACATCCTCCTATCATGTTTCTCTATTTGCAGTTAGGCATGCATAACGATATCATTTTACAAGTCTACATGCATCTCTAACATCATATCATTGTAGTTTTAATTGGAAATCTTATGTCAAGCCACAAGAATGAATCACAAAATTTTAATTGGTCCTGTAAAAAAAATAGGACAAAAGAGAGTAAATACCTACCCAATGTATCATCTTAATGCTAAAATATACCTTAAATTTTGAGATTCCCCTGAACTTTCTTCTAGGGTTCTAGTTAGTCCATGAAATCGAGAACTCGGTTTCAACTCTACAACACTTCACGCCTTGCATATTGTTTATGCTTTGAGCCGATGCCCTAATGCTTGAAGGTGTTGATGAACCAATCATTTGAAATGAGGAAGACGAGTACAAATGAGAGTTTTTCAGAGTGAGTTAGTGGTGTAATTTTGAATATGTCATATATGAATACCAATATCATTAAAGATTAAAGGAGCCACACAAGCAATACATATCAAACATTCATTTCTAAGTCATCCAATATCAAATATAGCAGGTAAAAGAAACCATACATACGGTGCTAAATGGGTAATTCTTCCAAAATATATACTAGTGTCTAACTTCATTAATGAGCTTAAATGTATAAGTTGTTAGATCAGCATGAAGCGTTGCGTACACTGCAAATTAAAGCTCAAAATTAAACCTTAGAAACTTCACACAATTAACATGACATCTAATTATAGACCTATGAACCGATAAAACATCATCTGTCTTTACGTCCACACATTAAAGCATCTAACCACTAAACTTGAAAACTTTACACCAACTCATTCATCCTCACCCTCATCTTCTTCTTCTTCACCCTCATCTTCAGATTCATCGCTCCCATTTTCCTGTCAAATACCAAAACCAACTAAATCAACAACACCCCATTAACTCATTCTTCCTGCTTTAAGTCAAAAACAAACAACACCTTCATCTACAAGTGCTCCTTTTTACTTACTTAACACGCTTAATAGAGAAATTTAACAACTTTTCACTAGTTTACCCTCGTTTGTTTTTTCCTTCCATTTCCTCAAGTGTATCAGCAGCATTTTCTCAAGTAATTTTTCAACATCATTTATACAGATAGCATTTAATAGAAAAAAGAGCCTAATTCTAGTGAAAATTTAACCAAATGTATTTTGGTGCTAGTGATTCAGTTAATTTCATAGAATTTATCATGAAAAGAAAACCAAAGTTTTACCTCTTCGTCACCTTCATCGCCTTCCAACTCTTCTTCATCAGCATCCTAAAACAAATAAAAATTTTAAGCACACAATAAGTAAAAAAGTCAACTATGCCCATTAAATGTCCATTGATTATCTATATACTCAAAATAAGCAAAGATACACAAGGGATCTTACATTATTGAAATACGTAAGGGGATTAGTCCACAAATCCTCCCTAATGATCTCAGCAACCTGTGAAATACAAATGATTGTAACATTAAATTGATTAAAAGATGTAAAATGAGCAATTTATAATACACAAAGATTAATACTTCATCATGGATCTCTTCCTCTCCATCTTTCAGTTGAGTTCCACTGAACCAGGAAAAGAAGCTGCATCAAGACATTCAAGAAATACAAAAATTAGGCAAGAAACAGTGTGTATCCACCATACAGAATTAAATAAAAAAAAATTTTAAAAGTCAATAACCTTTCTTCCTCGTGGGCCCGTTTGTTTCCTTTCTTCTCAGGGGCAGCCCCATTAGGAAGTCCCTTCAGAAAAACAAAATATACTAAGATGTTCTTTTTTATTCTTTTTTACTTAATGGATTTAGATCACATGATACAATTTTTTAAACTAGATGCAAGTGTTTCTTTTGTGCTTAAAGAAGAAAATAACAACTTAATGCAGAAAAGTAGGAAAAGAGACTTTCCCCAATATGTACTGAGTTCCCAATTATTATATGAACATCATTAATCAAGACATAAGACAAGTAAAAAAAATAAAACATAATACCATGCCCTCTTTCCACTTTATGGAGGTAGCTGTAATCTTTGTTGTACCCTCATCAAGAAAGGTAAATGTCTTGGTGAGTTTTGTGTCTTCAAAGTATGGATTGGGACTGAAGTTCTGAAAAAAAAGTAAATAAAATTGCATAACTATTGTAAATGAGGAATTGAAAAGGGGATTTACGTCTTTTTGGGTGGACAAAATGTTTCTATTTTTGTCCCATTGACATTCGTCTGAATCTCAATACACTGCATGTCAAATACAATGCAACTTGTTCTGTCATTTGTCAATTTGGGTCATAAAAGGGACATTAATATATTACTCACAAATGAGATTGAGTAGCCCAACTTCACATCTTTGCAATCTTCCACTTCCAGAGAAGTTAGATGCTTGAAGATCTAAAAGCAACAATTGTAACAAGATGATCACTTAACAAGCTAGCATTCATGTAAAGCCGGAAAAAAGTCAAGATATTACAGAGTCTAATACATATAGTGTCTGTTTGGTTTGATGGATGACAAGGGAATGGAATGTACAAGGTAATGGAGTAAGCATGATAATGAAATGAATTATTACATTCCATGATCATGTATAGTGGGAATGGAAAAAGAAAATCCATGGCTAGAGAATAAAAATTAATAAAATGAAAGGAATCATGTTCCTTCAAGAATGGTCTATTCCATTCCCTCGTTTGTCATTGCAACAGAAAGAACCATTCCGTAACTGGCTTCCATCATACCAAACACTACCCTAATTCTTTAATTGTGTTAAGGGTTCAACCTTTTGGTCTTCTTCACACAGAAGATCAGAAAGAACAGGATGACTCAAGAACTGCACGAAAAAAGCAATATTAGATTTGAGTTATGAAAACTGTTCACTACTCAAAGTAATACATCAAATTACACCACTCACAGCAGTCAGCCAAAAATCAGGAATTGATTTGATGATTTCACTCCGTTTATCATATACTGGCTTCCGAACTTCATTGTATTTCTGTTCCACTTCCAACACTTTATCACTTGCCTCCTCATTGATCTGAATACAGATAAACAACAACAATCTATGGATTATATTCCGATCAACCCCGCTAAAATACACAACGTTTCCCAGTTCACCATATCCGACTTAATCTAATCGAATGTGCATATGTTTAGTAAGACAACTGACAGCGCAAACTAGAACACATCATAAACACGATAATAAGTTTGAAACTATCAAATTTGTAATAAATGCTCTTAGAATGTTAAACAAGAATCATGATTCCGGACCTTTTTTAAGATAAATGAATTGGGTTTTTTGAAACCCAAATTGAAGATCGATGAACTAGAACATAACAGGAAGTACCTTTTCAAGTTCGTCTTGGACCTCCTGCAACTTTTCGATAGATAGAACAAGTTCGCCATCGATTTGCTCGGCGTTTTCTTCCACGATTTTCTCTGCGATCTTGGGTTTCTTACCCTTGTCAGCCACCATTTTTGAAACAGAGAATTAGCTTTGCTCTCGTCCGAGAGAAATGGTGTGGTTTAAGGAGGAGATGAGGAGGAGCTTCGTTTAGGGTTTTTGGGAGTTTAAGGAAAAAGTGAAAACGGGTGAGTTAGGGTTTTGGGGAGTTTATAATCACCTACTACGAGGCTCACCTGCGCTCCCCAATACCATCATATGTGTAATGTCCTTGGTAGCGAGAAATTAGATCTCTTATCCGTTACTTTTTATTTTTTAATCTTTTTAAAGAATGTTTTGATATAAAATTACAGATTATAGAATTACATGAATCTCTGTCCATGTTTTCGTTATTGTTTCCCTTAAACATAAAAAGGCTATATTGTTTTATCAATATTTATTTAATGTATTTACTATTGTATTTGTATGTTATAATTAAAAAAGCAATAAATGCCAAATATAATATTACTATATTTTATCATTCAAATAGATTGGGTGAACTCATATTGTGTTCTTGATTTTAAATTTTAAAGATGGAGAGGAAAAAGAAAAGGAAAGATTTTGAAAGAGAAAAAATTATCAAGTCTGTTTTCAAGTAGCAAGAAAGGGAATGAGTTTTAGTGTCAAATGAGATTTTTATTTTTGCTTAGGTTTTGACTTCAATTTGCAATTAAAAAAAAAAAATTAAAAAAAAAAAAAAAAAAGGATAAAAAGACCCTTCTTCATCTGGATCATTTCATTTCTTTCCCATTTCTCTCCTAAAAACAACTTAAGAACAAGTTGTTAATGACTAGACGCGGCTGAAGTAATAAATCACATACTAAACATTCTTTTAAATGATATTTGACCATAATTTTCGAAAATTAAAAGATTTTATATTTTGAAGCTACTTCTTATGTAAAGTAGTTTGGAAAAACAAAGAATATTTAAAAAATGTCAATATATTTAAAAGTAGTATTTTTTATTAGTATTCGAAAATGCATGGAATATTTCAAAATAACGGTTTAGTTTGGAAATAATAATTTATTGTTAATAGTGTTGGAAAATACATGGGTTGACCATGGACAGAGGTGGATCGGTTTTGAGGTAAAATTGAACACAAAAACGAATTGTTAGTTTTCGGAAAACTAGAATGCAATCCAAAACCAATAGATTAAGTTTCTCAGTTTTACTAGATCGGTTTCAGGTTTAAACCCAAACTCATTCTAAACCAAACTTTTTGAAAAAACAAATAAGAAACAAGCTCTTAATTTTTTAGATTTAAAGTATTTGATAGCCTCTTAATTTTTTGCCTTTTAATTGTTCATGAGTCTCTAAATTTTAAAATAAATAGTTGTATGTGAATAAATAAATAAACAAAAAAAGAGGAACCCAACTATCCTAATTTTTCAACAAATATTTTTCCATCTTTTCTTTCCATTTCAAACAACAGTCTACATTTTACTTCTCACTGTCCTCTCCGAACTCTTAAATATTATTCAGAGCCTCTTAAAAATTCAAACATTTTAAAAATTCAGATCCTACAAAACAATATTTTATTGTTCCTACAATGAGTTTATAAAAAAAGAAAAAAAAAATGTGATTGGACTGAAACCAAGAAAAAACCTATGCATAGAAAACAAACCTACAAGCAAATTGTATATTGAAAGGACTAACATACTTGATTTACCATCAAGTCATAATGTTGACCAGGTTATGGATGAAAAGCAAAACGCAATCACCCGGGTTTACATTGATCAATCGACTGACTGTGCATGCGAGACATAGGTCTTTGAACGTTGCAACGTCTCGTTATTAAGGTTAGAAGGTTTTGTTTCCAAAACAAATAGCGTAAAGAATGATCAAGCTAATGGTGTCCCCAAATCATTCAAGCAAAACCCGATGTTGTTGCGTGACCCAATAAATCTGAAGAAAATATCAACTAGATGGAGAGTTTGAGAGTTTGATAACCAATCCCTAAACCCCGACCTTCATGTTGGTCAAACTCCCCATGTCCAAACCACCATCAACCTCGTACAAAAGAATTGATAACCAATTTACATGATGTGTCGCTTTTCTTGTCTGTTATCACCACCACAAGGCCATTTCCGGATTAATATAAGGGTTTGCAATCTCAAACCACCAAGTAATAACCCAATGTTTTTTGTGGTTAAACCAAGGTTCTAAAAAGCTCGTCCTGACTCCAAGGTTTGTGTCTGCCGCGAAGTTTTACCAAAATGCCGCCTTAACTCAGATATTTGTATAAAATAGAATAATAGTTGAAAATACATATAAAAATATTAAATATATACAAAATTATTGCCTTAAGTCACGCCTTACAAACGGCATGGGTAGCCAAGGCTCGAAAAAACTTAAGGCTTGACATTACCGCCAAGTCAAGCCTTAAGTCTATCTTCTTCTAAATGTCATCACTAAAAATGGCTCGGGTTTAGTCTTCTGAAGAAAAGATGTTACTCGCTCGTGCATGGATTGATGTAACAGAAGATCCAATCCGCATTAACAATAATGCGCGTAATTTTTGAGGGAGAGTCGCGGAAACATACCATAGTGAAACCCCTGTTCCTCGAAGTAAAGATCAACTCTTCTCTAAATGGAGACATGCAAATGCATTTGCAACTCATTTTAACAATGTTTTTCACGGGATGATGCATAAAATCGAAAATGATAAAAATAAAAATATTTTGTTATTGAATGCTCTTGATGTTTATCATATTAAAGCTGATAAATATTTTCAGCTTGTGGAGTTTTAGCAAATTGTGAAGCACTCCTCAAATTTTGCCCAAATTTAAACTAGTTGTCTTTTAATTTAAGATTTTTTTTTTGTCTTGCATTATGTTTTCTAAATTTAAGTGTGTATTATTTTAATTTCAAATGTTTGTTTTTCAAGTTTAAGTGTGTGCTTTTTTTTTTTTTTTTGAAGTAAATGGAACTTTAGTTTTAAAAAATAGTATATTTGAAATGGAACTCTTGCCATGAAAATGACAAATGTTGCAATGAGTGTGGCAAAGTTGAGGTGACGCCTACATGGACCGTGACAAGTGTGGCAGCACTCCTACCAGCTTTAAAAGCAATAAACACTAAGAATGGTTAACTATTTGCAAATATATCAAGTATCGCTTGCGAAGGGCTGATGTATTTTGTTGATATACATTTGCAAAATATACTTAACAAAATAGTTTAGTACCGTCATCAAACATTTGAGTAACAAGTGGGGTATAGGCTATGCTAAAGACAGAGATGTGCAAAGTTCTAAAAAATAAATAAATAAATAAAACTAGCGTTTCAAAATGAGACAATTCAGCAGATACATATTTAATAACTTTTTTTTGTTGAGTTGGTATTAAAGAGATTTAGCTTTTCATTAAAAAAATCGCCAATTAGATTAAAAGACATGATGAATATTATATGTAACACAAGCACCCCCATCTTAGTTTGTCAAAAATCTTCTCTTCTTAAAAGTGCATTAAGTGTTTATAAACATCAGATTTTTACCTCCCATCTTAAAAGTTGCTAATATCCACCAAATGGTGATGGTGTGTTAGTTCTCACTAGTATCATGTTGCACTCTCCCACTAATTTCCAAGCACAAGCCAGTAGATACACCTTTTTTCACATAACTGTTCTTGGTCTTCACCTCGGGCTTTTTCTTTCTGTGGCCCGGGTCGATAAAAACCGGTTGTATTTCAAGAGTCGGATTGGGCTTGATGCGGTTCACTTCTCGTTCATTAACAGGTTGTAGCATGATACTCTTCTGAAACTGTTCAGATGCTTCGTCTTCATTCAGAAGAACCTACAATAAAATTCCAAAACTTTAACAATATTGAACAAATGGTACTGCTTTTGACATGTATGAGACTCAGACCACAATAGCATGTTAATTCCAAAAGTTTAATAAGGAAAGAAGAGCAATGCAAAAAAGCAATAACAAAGGTAAAGAAGTTACCTTACGCCCAACTAAGTCGAACGATATGACAACCTTGCTGCGATTGACTCGTTCAGCTTCCTCTATCTCCTCTTTTTTCTTCCTCAAAAGCTCCTTTTCCTGTGTCCAACAAGAGTTGAAAGTTTAGACAACCACATATCAGATATCAGAGCAATCCTGATATGACATAACAGGTTGTACTGACATCAATGCACAAGAAACACAGTACAACCTATTATGTCATATCCGGTCTGACAAATATGACCTAACATGATACCTCCATTGACAGCCAACTATTCCCTTCAATCTCATAGTAGTCGCTCTGATCATCTATAACCGTTGTACGAGCAGCAGCGTTGCGGTCATAATCAACAAGTCTTTTTGCATAAGCTTCAGCTGCCACCTCAGCATCCGATAAGGGAACGGTTTCTTCCTCTAAGCCAGCATACGTGCTTCCTTCTCTTAAAACAAGGGCCCCACAAAAACTACAAGGTCCTTCTCCTTCCTGTTCACACACAATCTTCCCACATGACAAACAATTACTAACCAATCTGTGTCTACGGGCTTGACATGAGCATGGTTTCCCCTGCTGAAATATGATTGAACCCTTAGAAGCTTCAGCAAGAGATATGACTTTCCCGGTTTTTTTCTTTTTTGACTTGCTTTGACTTCCCGTTTGTTGGTTTTGTGGTTGTGTGATCTGAGCTGTGACATTCTTGGAAGTGGAGGGTGGAGTTTCTTTTGGAGGTTTTACTGGTTTTTTAGACATGATAATGGTTTCTTTTGATGGTGGTTTCACATACTCACGGAATTGGGTGGTTGGATGATCTGGCGGGGTGGTGGTCTCTATATAACCTCTTCGTTTCAGGTATTCATTAATCACGGGTCGACCAGCTTCCTCACCAACTATATTCTGTATATGTATATGGCAACAAGAAGAAAACAACAAAATGTGTTAAAGTTTTGTGCAATTACATTTGATTCCCAACACTTTCTCCCTACATCTAGAAAACTGATGAGCCATAACATATCTTTGTTTAGCCTCATATAAATGCACTTCAAAATGAATATGGTAATATAGTAAAAACACATAGGTGTGCTTATAGAGAGCAAGATGCATTTCATGTTGGAATTATCAAAAGCTAAACACTGATCTAACATTCTACTTTTGTTACTCTAGAAATCAAATGAAAGATAATGCCCAATACATATCTATCAAAATTCTAAGCATACTTAGGGTAAATGCCGCGCTGTAGCTATGCTATTGTGTATTCTCACAATCAACAAGATGATCTAACAATATTATTAGATTGTCAGTAAACATCTTCATTCCCAATTGAACCAATAACTTGATTTTCAGATGATCAATATAGCGTTTTGACTCATAGCAACGCATAAACTCGATAAACTCCAACGGATTGCCTCAAATAAACTCAACCATCAAGTTGCCTTTTGCATCAATTGATTCAGCAAAACGATATGCAAAACCCTACTAGTTAACTAAACCAAAAGATGAAAGTCTATAATAAATAGCATAATGATGAATTAAATTCGTAAGGAAGATAAACTAGAATAAGTAGTGATATGGAATATGAGCAATTACATCGAGGTACTCCTTAGCGTCAACAGGAGGAGCAAGGTCACAGTAGGAGACTAGCCCTGAGATGAGATCTCCATCTAATTCCAAACCGTCTGTCTTCCGGCAAAGATCTAGTAACGCCTTCTCCAACCACTGTCCTGCCGTCTCCATTCTCTCTACACCGTACAGAGTCTCCGGTGGTCTTGCTGCTGATCGAGAGAGATGTGAGGCAATTGAACCAAAAGAGGAGTTGCTACGCCTACAAGCCTACAACTCCTAACCACAATTTTAGGGTTTATGCAAATAAGTCCACTTACTTTGTCATATTAACGGATTTGATCCTCCATTTTCGAAATTGATCAAATTCAATCGTCCTTGATTACATATGTAAAATATAATTGTATTGTTTTTCAACCCAAAATAACATAATCATTAATCAAAGACAAAAATACATAAATGGTCAATGTGTTCGGCTAAACATACCATATTTGGTACGTATGAAGATTTTCAAGTACAGATGGTCTTAAGTTTGAAAATTTCTTTTAAAAATAGTCTTTTATGGTTAACATTGTTAAAAATAACTAGTTAGAGTTAAGTTTTTAAGAAATGTCCAAATTATATATATATATATATATATATATATATATATATATATATATATATATAATTTGGATATTTTATAAAAGTTAACACATTATTATAAAGAGTGTTAGCAATAAGGACAATTCTCACAAGGTTTACAAAGTTAATAATTATTTTATTATTGGAACGACAACACACTCTAATATATTCATAAAATACTTCTTAAATCCACATATGTCCCAAATGAGAGTTGAATCGTTGACCTCTTAGACTTGTGGAAATGGCTCGACATTGTGTTCGGCAAAAGGGTGGCAAACTTGACATACCCCCCCCCCCCCAATGGTGGTATGCCAAGTGGCTAAGCTCAAACGATACATTACTGCCGAAGAGAGATATCGAGAGGAGATAAACTTCACATGATGTATTTTTTTTATGCAAGGTATACAGACACACGTGCAATGATTTGTTTATTATTCTCCAAGTCTTGCATAATAGTAACCCAACCTACCTAAATGGCATGACATGCATATTGTGTGGCAAAAATATTATGGTAGTGAGGTGGATGTTAAAAAACTAAAGTGGCATGGTGACAAATATGACACCGCTCTCTCGAGCTTAGAAAGAAAGCATTTCACCATAACGTTTGACCAAAAACATATTTGTAGTCAATAATCATTTATGCAAGAAATATTTATATATAAAGACCAAATGTGGTATCATTTTGACAACCACAAAAAGGCCAAAGGTAGTGATTTTGAGCTCACCAAGCTCAACGTCAGCCAAACAAACATCCACCTCATTTGATGGAAGAAGTGTCAAAACCACTATTATGAGAAGAGAGTGGGGAAAAGAGAGGGAGAAGCACCGTGTGAAAAAGAGGAGGAGGCAGATTCGACAAATGGCTTTTAAGTTGGGTTGTCGAGCTCGACATGCCGAGCTTAGGGGATGATATTGTCGAGCCGCCTCAACTAACATCGAGTCCACTTCCTTCAACCTAACAATTAAAGTAATTTTTGTCTAAAAAATAAAAACATTATCATTATATGTGTATGATAGATTATCATTATATGTGTATGATACGATGGAAATGATGTCGGGATTCTATAAAATGAGTATTTTTAGGGTAATTTTATATGTATCCCTGTGTACCTAATTATGAATACATCACTTTTTTTTAATCACAAATTCTTGAACTTACTTTGACTCGGGGACCAAGAGAGGACATAACAATAAATATTTGAAACTAGCAGACCAAGAGGACGATTCTGCACCCACTTCACGTGAATTACTCGATCCAAATTCCATTTTTCACTACGATCAAAGATATGTAATGAGGCGCAATTTACTTACGAAACATGTAGCTGCTGTTGTGAAATACCAAAAGGATCCACTAAGGGCGCTAGAAATGTTCAATTCTGCGAAGAAAGAAGATGGGTTTAAGCATAATCTGATAACTTACAAGTGTATGATTGAAAACCTCGGTTATCATGGTGAGTTTGAAGCAATGGAACGTGTGTTTACAGAAATGAGGTCGGATATTGATAATTATTTGTTAGAAGGAGCTTATGTATTCGCCATGAAAAGTTATGGCAGGAAGGGAAAGGTTCAAGAAGCTGTAAATGTATTTGAAAGAATGGATTTCTATAACTGCGAACCAGGTGTTCATTCGTATAACGCAATTATGAATATATTAGTTGAGTACGGGTATTTTGATCAAGCCCATAAAGTTTATATGAGAATGAAAGATAAAGGAGTTGTTCCTGATGTATATACTTTTACGATTAGAATCAAAGCGTTTTGTAGGACAAGTAGGTCTTTAGCTGCTCTTAGGCTTCTCAAGAACATGCCTGCGTCAGGGTGTGAGTTCAACGCAGTTACCTATTGTACAGTGGTAGGTGGATTCTATGAAGAAAACAATCAATCCGACGCATACCAACTGTTCGATGAAATGCTCATGAGAAGCATCTTTCCTGATGTTGTCACTTTTAACAAGCTTATACACATACTTTGCAAGAAAGGGAATGTTCAAGAGAGTGAGAGACTTTTCAACAAGGTACTAAAGAGAGGCATATCTCCAAATGTCTTCACATTCAATGTCTTCATTCAAGGTCTATGCAAATCCAAACAGCTCACCCAGGCTGCCAGAATGCTGGATTCTGCCAGTAAACAAAACTTAACACCCGATGTTGTCACATTCAACACACTCATATGGGGTTTATGCAAGAACTCAAAGGTTATGGAAGCTGAGAGTTACTTACAAATGATGGTAAACAAGGGTCTCGAGCCAGATGATTTCACATACAACACCATAATCGATGGGTACTGCAAACTGGGCATGGTGGAGAGTGCTTCCAAGATTCTTAAAGATGCAGTTTTTATGGGGTTTAAGCCTGATAAGTTTACTTATACCTCTTTAATCTATGGATATTGCCAAGATGGTGATATGGATCGAGCCATGGCTGTATTTAGAGATTGTTTGAGAAAGGGTGTGAAACCCATTACTATTATGTACAACACATTGATTAAAGGTTTGGCTAAACAGGGTCTAATTTTGCAGGCATTGGAGTTAATGGAAGAAATGCCAGAAAACGGGTGTTATCCTGATACATGGAGTTATAATTTATTGATTGATGGGCTTTGCAAGATGGGTTGTGTATTGGATGCTGATAGATTCATGAATGATTCTTTGGGAAAAGGTTTTATTCCTGATATATACACGTTTAACACTTTGATTGATGGTTATTGTAAGCAGTCGAAGATGAGTATTGCTATTGAAATGGTGGATAAAATGTGGGATCATGTGACACCTGATGCTATCACATACAACACTCTGTTAAATGGCCTTTGCAAGAATATGAAATCTGAAGACGTGATTGGAACTTTTCAAGAAATGAAAAACAATGGTTTTGCTCCTGATGTAATTTCTTACAACACATTGATTGAAAGCCTTTGTAAAGCTAGAAAACTGGATAAAGCCATGGAAGCTTTTCAGGAAATGGAGAAAACTGGACTAAACCCAGATGAAGTTAGCTATGGCACATTGATTAGTGGGTTTTGTGAGAATGGAGATCTTGAACGAGCCTATGAGCTCTTCCGTCAATGTAATCTCTCCCACACAACTCCCATATTCAATATCATGATAAAAGCTTTCAGTGAGAAGATGAAGATGGATGACGCACAGAAGCTGTTTGATGAAATGCCTGAACCAGATAACTTCACTTTTCGTTGCATGATTTATGGGTTTTGCAGAATAGGAGACGTTGACCATGGTTACAAGTTTCTTCTTGATGAGATTGACCATGGGTTCATACCATCAGTTGCTACATTTGGGCAGGTGATAAACTGTCTTTGTGTGAAGCATAGAGTGCGTGAAGCAGTAGGTGTTGTTTACCTGATGGTGCAGAAGGATGTAGTCCCAGAGACTGTAAACACCATATTTGAAGCAGATAAAAAGGTGATTGCAGCTCCGAAGATTGTTGTGGAAGATTTGTTAAGGAAGAGTCATATTACTTATTATGCATACGAACTTTTGTATGATGGTGTAAGAGATAAAAAACTTTCAAAGAAAAAACTTTCAATTAATAAAACATTGAATCAGTAATCCACAAGTGTTCTTTAACTATAGTTCAATTATTGTGCAATTACTTTTTTATATGTATGGGGCTCTTTGATAGTTGTTAATTGAATCTAACTGAGTTACACCTAGCCTCTAACTAGACCCAAAAAAAAGACACAATCCTAAGTGTCATACATAACTCCATCCTGGCTGTTTCTTTATCCCAGTCCCTTTCATCTCGTTTCTAATCTTTAAAACTTCTTCCCAATTCCCCAATTCAGCCAAAATATTGGATAACCCCACATACCCTCCATCTGACAACGGCGCCAACTCAATAAACTTCTCAGCCGCCATTCTCCCAATCTCAACATCCCCATGCACTTTACATGCAGCAAGCAATGTACCCCACACTAACCCATCCGATTCAACCGGCATCTTCCCAATAAACCCAACCGCTTCTTCCAATCTCCCAGCCCGGCCCAAAACATCCACCATACATGCATAATGCCTCAAACCCGGTTCAATCCCATAATCTTTAACCATAGACTCCAAATAACAATACCCCTCTTCCACCAAACCACCATGGCTACACGCACTCAACACACCCACAAAAGTCACTGAGTCCGGTTTTATCCCTGACTCGACCATGAGTTCATACACTTTTAATGCGGCTAACCCATCTCCATTTTGAGCATACCCGTTGATCATCGCGGTCCACGTGATCACATCCGGGTTATCAATCTGTTCAAACGACTTACAACAATCATCAAGATTCCCGAATTTTGAGTACATCGTGACCAATGAACTCCCGATTGATGTATCGGATTCGAGCCCGAGTTTTACGATCCGTCCGTGTAACTGGACCCCGGTTTCGGGTCCGTTTACGGATCGTAAAATGGACGAGATCGTGAACGAATCGACCTCGAAACCGGACACGATTAGCTCACGAAAAAGATGAAATGCATCTTCGATTAGCCCGTTTTGTGCATAGCTTGAAACTAAAGAAGAACACGATACCGGGTCTTTAAAAGGCATCATGTTGAACACCAATTTAGCTGATCTTAAATCGCCACATTTCGAGTACATATGAACTATTGGACTTCCGGCAAAGATGAGTCGCCGGAAAAAGAATCCATGGATTTCCTTGCCGGATTTTAAAGATTGAAGAGACGCACAGGCTGCAAGGACGGGTGTTAAAGTCTTTTCATCTAATATGATATGATTAACAAGCATTTCTTGAAATAACTCAATAGCTTTATATGCAAACCCGTGTTCTGTAAATCCCGCAATCATTGATGCCCAAGAAACTTCGTCTTTCTCGGGAATTTCCCGGAAAATCTTGTAGGATTCTTTTAAGCAGTCGCATTTCGAGTACATGGTGAAGAGAGAACAACCCACTAAAGGGTTATTAAAAATCCCGGTTTTATGCGTATAGCAATGAATCTGTTCACCTAATTGTAATTGATCCGTGATACTCAACACACTCGGTATACAAGATTTATCAGGTTTTAAACCTTCTCGAAACATTCTTTTCAATAAACTAAATGTTTTTTCTAATCTTCCATTTTGAGAAAAGCAAGTTATCATTGCTGCCCATGTACTTGGATTCATTGAATGTTTTGAGTCTTTGAATATCTGTTTGGATGATTCTACTGCTCCTGTTCTTGAGTATGAATTTATCAAAGAATTCTTCACGGTTGGATCGGAATAGCCGGTTTTACAAATCCAACAATGGATTTGGAACAATAATATTGGGTTTACACACGCGGAAAGAACACTAGTGATAGTGTAATTGTTTATTTCTACCTTTAAAGATAGCATTTCTTTAAATAACTGAAGGGCTGATTCAAACTCACCTTTTTGAACAAAACCTGTGATGATAGCAGTCCATGAAACCACATTATGAACAGACATTCGTGAAAATATCTTCACAGCTTCATCTACTTGGCCACATTTGGAATAGAAGTCGATTATAGCAGTGGACACAAATACGTCTTCTCCATCACCATATTTGATAACCAACCCATGAACTAATCTGCCGAGGTCAAGTTGTTGACATTTAGCGCAAGCACTGAAAACAGAAGGAAATGTGAATTTATTTGGAGAAGGAAGTCCGCGACACATCTGCTGAAAAAGATTCAAACCCAGATGGTCTTCATTGTGTTTAATGGCACCGGAAATTATCGCATTCCAACAAACCACATTCCCACAAGATTCATCGTAAAAAACCCTTAAAGCATCATTGAAATTGCAACTCTTTAGGAATAAATCTATCATCCCACTCCGAACATAACCATCCAAAGAGAAACCATCTTTTAATGCGAGTGAGTAAAGTTGTTTCCCGCAATTAACCAAATTGGAAGCTATACAACCGGAAAGAGCACTCCCGTATGTAAATTCATTTGGGTAAAAACCCAAAGAATGCATTCTACAGAAACTTCCCCAAGATTCTGCATACCTAAGGTTTCCATTGTGACACGAGATGATGAGATTCCAAGAATTAATGTTTGGGTGAGGAATTGCGTCGAACACCTTGAGTGCGTGATCAAAGACCGAAGCTTTATAATAACAGCGCAATAAATAATTCGAAAACTCGGTATTCGAATGGAAGGCGTTGGTTTTGAGGAAATGGGTATGTATGATTTTAGTTTCTACAAGTGTATAGTCTCGTGATTTCGCTGATTCATTGAGGTACTGATAAGGGTCGAACGTAGTAGGGAAATTTTGCTGGTTGTGTGGTTTTTTGGGGAAAATTGATGGGACCTGTAGAGCAGAAACAAGGGAGGAAAGAAATTTGGTGGAGTAAATTGAGAATTTTAAATTGATGTGATGATTACTGAGAGCTTTCTTGGGTATTCTGGAATTAAGGAACATGGCAGGTAAAGCAGCTACGCGGGAAATTCTCGCAAGCGCCAAGACTTACAAATAAATGTGTCGGCAACACTATTTACCATAGGCGGTAGGCGTGTCGTCCCACGGTTCCGAATTCGGGTAGAATAGGTCGGATGGATGGGTATAATAGGTCGGATGGAGCGGGTAACATTCGAGTAATATGTTAACTCGATAACAATAAATGTCGGTTTTAAGGTATGAATATTAATTTCCGGGTATACCAGAATTCGTTTACACAATATACATTATACATGAGTAGGAGGTAGTTAGGTAGGCACGCTTCAAAAAAAACCCTTCGGTTTCTTCTTATGATCGACGTAAGCAAATACGACGTTAAGCAATCCCACGCAATCGCAATTCTCACTATCGTCTCAGCCTCAAACACGTTAAACTCTCATCGGCTCCGACTGATCACACTTCGGTTTCTTCCCTTTCCATCTGGTCATGCTGAAAAGAAAAGTACCAGTCTCCGTGAACCTTAATCGATCAAAAGACAGTTTAAGTATGCAATCACAATCACAGGTTAAAAAATTTGCATCCTCTCTGATTTCTTTGTTGTGTTGTTGTTAATCACAGGTTAAGTTGGAATAATTTCATCATATAAAGAATAAATATCAAAAAAATTTTAGCCGCATTATATATGCATGTCGATCTTAACAAAGAAACTCCGATCTAGTAATTGTGGTTTTTAGCCTTTTATGTTGAAGCTCATTGAATGATTTTTGTATGTGTAGAAACCATTTTGATCTATTTGTTTATCCTTCTTTATCTTAATTCAGTTACTTAAGTTGATATCAATCTAGTTGACATTGATATTCTGAAGATTGGGGATGGTGTTCCATACCTCATTAGCATAGTGGGGACGGTGTTTCATACCTCATTAGCAGTAGAGCAGGGACGAAGCCCAAGTAAGGAAAAGAGTGAGTGTGGGTTGGGCTCGTATCTCACTATCAGTAGGAGCGTGGACGGGGTTCCATGATTCAACAGTAGCAGGACAGGGGCGATGCCTAAGATAGGCGAGACCTTAGTACAGTAATCCAGTAGAGTATGTTAGATATGTGTTGTGATATGATTGCATGCTAGTATATGTTAGCGGGCGGGGCCCGGAGACAGGCGAGGCCTAAGGAAAACAGATCTATACGCTGAGCGGGACTCGAAGTCAGGCGGTGCCTGGTGGCGGACGGGGTCCGAATGTCCGATAGCGGGCAAGGCCCAATGCAGCGGGCAGGAACCCAGTATGTGGTTATGTGTTCAGTATTATGTATGGTATGTTTGGATAAGTAGATATGTATGATATGCGGTAGGTTGGAGAACTCACTAAGCTTCGTGCTTACGGTTTTCAGTTTTGGTTTCGGGTATTCAGTTTTCAGAAGAGTAGCTCGGGAAGGTTGCAGTGCACACACCATGACAAGTTAGCTTGGGATGTTTACTCTGATAATTAAACAAGTGTTTTGGAAATGAAACTATGATTTGTCATATGAACCCTTTTTGTATGTTGGAATGACGTAACGCTTTGAATTAGTATTGTTTTTAAAAGAAATTTTGGACTCGAAATATGGGATGTTACAAGTTGGTATCAGAGCCTTGGTTTGAGGGATTTGGGCACACTCTCAGATGTGTCTGAACTCAAACTGAGGAAGTGGTATAAAAATTTTCCAAAAGAAAAACCATATTTATAAAAGGATTTTGAGGAAAGAAAAGGGTTTTAGAAAAAGCAAAAGGAACTTTGAAAAGAGAAAAAGGGTGTGGTGCATGCAATCAGCCGAGCTCAAGTAAGTTCTCCTAAATTACCCATACAAGTTTATGTTATGATATGATTCTGTGATCAACATGTTGTATTTAGGGCTAAGGATATAGGAGGATGCCTTATGTGCCTGTTATATGCACTTATTGAGCTATATGTTAGCATTTGTTAGACAGTAGTAGAATAGCCTGCTTAGGTTATGCTTGATTATGTGAGCTTATATTGCATGCTAGTACAGATTCTTGTATTTTGATAGAACTGCTTAATTATGTTCTGGTTAGATTTCCCTTTGGTCTGAATGTTGCTTGATTTGTGCTTCGTGGGATTCTGAGTGATGGGGGTTAGCTATTAGATGAATGCGTTAAGTTACATGTGATCAGGGTTAAATAATCTCAGAGTTCTGGATTTGACCCTACTGCCTAGCTCTCGTTTAAATCTAACCGTTGTAGGGACGAGTCCTTTACTTGAAGGATTATCTGAGCCTCGTCACATGTGATAGTATTCAGGTAATGGCTGATTGGAATTACGAGGAAATCTTCAACAGCTGAGGACTGGTTGGGTCGGAGGTTTCCCTAGGATAGGCCTAGGATGAGTTTAGTGTTGGGAGTAGTGGTAGTCGTGCAAGGGACTTGGTGGAGTCGAGGAAACTCTTGAGGAAAGTACGGATAGATGTAGAAGGTAGTATGGACCCGTACTACTGAAAGCAGAGGATCCGTACTCGATTCAAGAGGGGCCAAGACAAAACCAGGGAACTTGCAGTGCGTGTGAGGTCCCTCAGCTGTGATATGTATTTTGATGATTGTTATGGCATGTTTTCAGTATGGCAACATCGCAAGATGGACCGGTGTATGGATGAGGTGTCAGAGAGGGGTCAGGCTCGGGTTCAGGGATTGAGCAGCTCGAGGAGCGGATGAGAGAGTTTGTATCAGCTGAGATTACACGCGGTATTCTTGACCAGACTCCTGTGATCTTTGGCACAATCAAGGAGGGCATCCTGGAGATTCTGGATGAGAGGCTTGGAGCCTTTCGCACAGAGTTGATGGCTATGATAGGAGCGTGTACTTTGACTTTCCGGGAGTTCAGGGCTTGTGGAGCTCCAGATTATCATAGGGCTAGGGACCCCATTGCTAGTAGCAGATGGTTGGCTGATGTCGCCAACACTTTTCGTTCTAGCCGGTGTCCCGAGGGGGAAAAGGTTCGACCCGCCTCCTGTCTTCTGAAGGACAAGGCACATGATTGGTGGGAGGAGGTTGGTCATGTTATCAAGGATGATGCTGCGTTGGACGCGATGACATGGAGTGATTTCTCGGCAAGGTTCAAGGTCGAGTTTGCACCGATTATTGAGGTGCAACAGCTGCCCAAGAGTTCCAGGATCTACATCAAACGACCGAGACGGTGGCGGAGATCACCACCAAGTTTAGGGAGAGGGCTCTTCTTGTTCTGCAATATGTCGCGGATGAGGAGATGAAGAAGGCTCGATATCACGATATGTTAAGAGACGACATCAGAGAGTTTATGAGTCGGTCCAGCTGCAAGACACTGGAGGATATGATTGCTTGGGCCAGGGAAAGGGAAATCGATTTGGAACACCTCAAGAAGAGGATGCCGAAGGAGGTTCAGGTATCTACGAGATCGAGCAAGAGGCCTAAGATATCAGACTCTAGATCGAGAGGTCCTCAAGACCGGGGTCGTTGTTGCAAGTGCAGCAGGACGCATGAGGGTGCGTGTAGGAGTGGCAGCGGTGGTGATTCTGGTTGCTTCAAATACGGTCAGATTGGTCATTTCAGCAGAAATTGTACTGCTACCACCACCCAGGGATCATACATGTTATGTTTCCATTGCAGTCAGAAGGACCACAAGAAGGCCCAATGTCCGAGTTTGCATTCAGCAGGACAGGTGATGGCACCTGCTCCTGCAACCATGAGGATCACCGACGGCCGTCAGGGCCGGGCAGAGATGCCTGCATTGAGGAGCACGACGTATCAGTTGGTTTTAGATGGTGTGTGAGCAGCCCGATGTGTCAAGTACATATCTTATTTCATTTCTCTATCAGCTTATGATATGGTGTTATTGTTATGGCTCTGCATCGATATTGATAATGGTACTTCGGAATTTTGCGGCCTGCTGGTGATTTACTTATATGCCATCTGCATACCTTAGGTGTTAGAATGATAGTTTGAGGTCATCTCCTTTAGAGTGGGTTACTTAGGATGCATTATCTTTAGCATGCCTGTGAGGGGCTTGGTAGTGCCTCGCTAGTTCGGGAAGGTGTCGATTGGAAATGGATCGGTTAGATCCCCAATTGTGGTAAGTCAGGTTTTCAGCAAAGTGACCAGGGGATGGAAGGAAGAATTGGAAATTCTTCTGAGCTGTGAGTTGTGAGGAGCTAGTCAAGCCGAAGTGGGGGAGAGCCATCCGTATGGCCAAGGATAGAAGTAAGTACAATACTGGGGTGGTTTCGTAGTCTTAGCAAGGAAGAAAGCGGATCAAGTGGCTGTTTGGATGGAGGATCAGGTTAGTTGGGAGTTGGAGAAACTTTCCAACCTTGAGTTTGTGTATTCATGTCTAGCGGGTGACTGGTTCGGGAAAACCAGGTTGTAGAGCCTTCGCCAGATGTGAGTTTAGGCAGGATATAAGACTGTGGGGTAGCCGCAGCATTCCCCCAGCAGCAAGTCGTGAGGAAAGTGTCGTAAGACTGCGGGTAAGCCGTAGCGTTCATTAGCAATTTAGTTCGAGGAGTGTGGGCGGAGGCCCGTATCTCCTAGTCAGCGATGGGGATCAGGAAAGGCTAAGTCATTGAGGTTTAGTATGGAGTTGGCCTGCATAGTCCTTGTTAGGAGAGGCCACTCGAGTACGCAGTTGGGTGAGACCCGTGGGTGAGGTCCGTATGTTAGCAACATTATTGGTGAGACATGGGAGCAGGATTGCTCAGTAGTATGGTTTGGGTGAGACCCGTGAGATTATAGCAGCACAAGTGTGACCTGGTAGGGACCTTAAGGTCAAGATAGGGGATCGAGGATCCCAAGACTTGTAGCCCCAGAGTGGCGGGATAGATAAAGCAGCTTAGATAGCCGAAGTTTCTCTAGAAGTCACTGGGAGCGACTAAGAGATTGTGCTAGTTGTAGTGACCGGTGAGTATCCTGTAACCTAGTTATCAGCATAATCTGTAGAGGGACCAGGGTGGTCTTGATCCATTTGTAAGGCGAATGAGAAACGGTAGGACTTTAAGGCAAGGAAG